AAAATAATTCTGAGTGAGTGAGTGAGTTTAGTTTGACGCCCCACTCAGCAATAATCCAGCTATATGGCGGTGTTCTGTAAATAATCGAGTCTGGACCAGACAATCCAGTGATCAACAGCATAAGCATCGATCTACGTAATTGGGATACGATGACATGTGTCAACCATGTCAGCCAGCCTGACCACCCAATCCCGTTAGTCGCCTCTTACGACAAGCATGGGTTGCGGAAGACCAACTCTAACCCTGATCTTCGCGGGCAGAAGGAACAAAGACCGCCTGTAACCAATCGAGATTTGACCAAACAATCACGTGATGAACCACCTAGTCCCTTAACATGGACCTTGATGCTAAAATCCACGAACCAAATGCAATGTGCCGATAAACAAACGATAGTTATCAAGGACTAGGCCTATATCAGATTTTGGCACATCAAGGGGACGCAAATCTCGAGGCCAATGTGGCACCCATTTTCTATCACAAAATGCCAAGGCACAACAGTATTGAAACCATTTCAAGGAAAACGCAACACATCAAACACGAATATCAAACATTTATTTGATTCAGCTCAAACCCAAAATTATTTACATATATCTCACTTGTGTAAAAGACTAAATATAATTATGCACCCCAATGTGGAAGTTGTACGAGATATGAAACCTTGGAAATGTCGGTGGAACTTGGTCACGATTTTCGAAAAATATCATATAATATACCTCATTTGCTGACACTACTGATCAGTACCCACTTTCAAAATATGGAAAATATTATGCATCAAATTAAACAAACACACACACACACACACATTTAAACTGGAATAATATTTAGTTCCAACAACGAGGATGCAATATTAAAACTCTCTACTCTCAAGAATAGCACACGCTGTGTACCAAATGTCAGCGATTTGTCCTGAGACTTCACAACCTTCTATTATTATTGTTTGATTATTAAAAAAAAACTGGTTTCGTAATGAAGGTTCCAAAGGACGGACAAAAGTGGACTCATCATTTGGTTAATACGTTCTCTATATCTATGTACAAACGGAATGGTCATGTGATGTTTCGTTTCACTGGATATTGTCATTTGATGTCCTGTTCGTGCCAGTAACACTATGGTAGTATAACACAAAACCCTCCTGTATCTCTGCAATCAGTTCATCACAAAGAGTGGGATGTTTCAGCGTAAGGGCCTGCGTTGGTACTAAAACCACTTTGAATAAAATGCTAGTATTATCACAGTACTTAAGGAACTGACTGACTGACTGAGTTTGGTTTTACGCCGCTTTTAGCAATATTCAAGCAATATCACGGCGGAGGACACCAGAAATGGGCTTCACACATTGTGCCTATGTGGGGATTCGAACCCGGGTCTTCCTCCTGACGAGCCAACGCTTTAACCATTTGGCTACCCCACCGCCCCCAAAACTTAAACGAAGATCTAACTAAACATGGCGTCATCATCGCCAGATGAACTAAGATTCCCAGATGAACTACGATTCCAGATACATCATAGCTTGTCAGCTGAAGATGGGATGAACGCCCAATGTGATGCGGGGCTAAGACGGTTGCCTCTTCCCTGGAACCCACCAACACGAGTGTGGTGTTGGCAAACCTAGAAACATAATTGGGACGAATCGGGATTCGAACCCTCGAGCACAAGTTTCTGATATGCCCACCAGACGAAGACCGGGTCTCTCCTTCCACTGGGAGATGTCAGAAGCCGTATGATATTTTCTAAACGATAACGATCGGAAGCACTCAATTCATACACATGACCAGACAGTTTTGACTATATTATAGGTGCGAATAAAAACTTTTTACACAAGGCTAAACTGAATTTCTACGGTGAATGCATTGTGCAAAATAGATGATATCTGGAACAAAATCTAAGTTCAAGGTACTTTTAATGTACATAGGTATATTCACGTTGAATAAGAACCTGTCACCGGGAGGGGGATGTGTAAGATCAAACGTTTTTGATGCACTGAAAATAATGACCCTCCCAATTTTCTTGTACATCTAGTCCACAACCCTCCCAGAAAACACGAACGCAAAGAAACGTTATACTTTATTATAAAATGTCAATATTGACATGGCCCTCCCAGTACTGTTGGTTTTTGGGACGCACCCAACAGACTGGTGCTGTGCCACCCCCCCCCCCCGCCCTATAGTAAACGACGGGGCCTTTATTTTGCGAGTTAAAATATCGAAACGGGAACGTCAACATCTAAAAACAGAATTCGGGTACAAATGTGAGCATGAAAGTTGACGTAATCGCCATATGCCACTTCAAACACGGATGGATAACAGGTTTCGTTGTTTTTTGCACTAATGTCATATAAAGACAAACATTTTTAACACAACTGTTATCAGACAAGGTGGCGCATTAAGTCCTGTTGTTTTAATAATGTTTGTGTATGAAATTGCTATATAAAATTAGGACTCTCGGGTTAAGAGATATTTTCCTGAGAGATAATTTTGATAATTTTGCTTTGTCCACAATGCCCATTTATGCTATATTTTTACGAATCAGGCTACGACTAGAAACGATATGATTAATAGAAACGAAAGCCTTAATATTTCAGTCAGTCTGTCAAATAAATAGACGGGTTCTTTAGTCAATTTGTCGAATGACTAAAATAAAAAAAATCCTGAAATAAAACACATTTTAAACATTGTCTGAATTTAGACATTGACTGAAACATACATATACTGCATGTAGAGGAATTCTGGTCTTAGTGGCCAGTTTTCATGAACAGATTTCCACTTATATTACTTCTAATGACGGTAACAACACACATTTATGGACTGAGAGCTCATAACGCTTATTTATTGGAGTAATAGGTAGATTACCACAAATATCACTACATGAATTTAATACCAATATGCCTTATAGAAAATTGAGCAAACTATCTCCCGCCGAAAATCTAGCGGAATTTTCACCCAGTAATGGGATGTTAGTACATTCTATATACACAGTATAAATGACATACAAAATACATGAATATCTATGTGTATAAATTTATACATAATCTCTAAATGTAATGATGTGATAAAAATATACAACTCTACAAAATAAATCATTAACGCAACACATCATCTTCGAATGCTTGATACTGGGTATCATTTAATGGTAAAGGATAACCAACAACTACTTGCCACAACTGCTTTCTGAAGCTCTAAACTTCTCAATCTAACTTGAGAAGAGTCATTTGATTGGACGGCTAATCTTATCACCAGCCATTATGGGGATACCCGAAGAGCAAATCCTAACAAAATATACACCTATAAGAGTATAAACACTATTCGCTTCTGTTTTCACCTATTCCAATGACCCGGAAGCTACATTTGACACTGTAGATGCTAGTGACATGGATGTTATTATGAAACAAGAGCGTATAATCAGGCGAAAGTATTTTTTAATTCCAGTCGCTTCTGACAAGTATCTGCTCTTTGCAACATGCTGATTGAAAGGGGTTACCATGTTTTCATTTGAGACATTGCTAATTTTGTGTTATATATGACCACTCACGAGTAGTCCATTCACCGACTGTGTAAAGTCCTAACTTGTTCCACCAGACAATTTTCGAGAACTTTTATACTGAAACAACATCCCACCATAACCAGCTAGGCTAACTCAGCTCATTTACTTCCGATGGTACCAGTACATTACAGATTTGAGTGTTATCCAGTCAGTCCAATTCATTTTCGTTTGCAAAAAGTCACAGACTAAAATGGTATTGTTATTTGTGTTGAAGAACTCTGACCGTGATTTGTGATGGGGATGATTTCTCCTCTAAGGACATTTTTTTACGTATTAGTGACAACAAATATTCGTGTAACATGTATCAAACGTTCCGGTGTTGTTCCCTTTTCAAGTTAATTTAAATGCCTTTGAATGTGTTTGTGATGGGGATCACTCGCGGGAAGGATAAGCTCCACTTTTGTCGAACACCTGACATCATCACTATTAAAAAACCCACATTGTGTTGACATTGTTGGAATTGATAGTATTCAGCAGAGATTTCTAATGAATATGGAAATAGTTTTGTCACTGTTATTTTATGGAGTACGATCTCAGTAACAGCTGGAAAGCATTGCGTATGCAAAACAGATAAAAAATCGATATACTCTGTTTACATTTCTATACAATTGTATTAACCATCATTATTTAACCATTTTTAAGCCCATGCTGTTTAGGAATGATATGTACACTGTACCTTTTTAAAAAAGAACATCATTACGTTAGGATGAAAAACGGTGAATAATATTATTTTGAGTATTATTGTTCTATTTGGACAAATGGTAACTTGTCATGGAATCCACTTATATTTCGTCATCATCAACTAAACTTCATATGATAGTGATTATGTATAAAGGGCAAAACAGCATTGAAAGACAGCAGAACGAGTATTTGACATATATATCATCATCATAACAAGCATCATCTGTCATTGTTTACTGAAACTAAGCATATTATGCACGTTTTGAGACATTAAGCATTAACAAGGAATACCTCTCTGTGGCTATATTATTAGGCTGAACGGCCTACACAAGTCAACGAACAGCTTAATAGCAATATAACAAACATGAGGAAAAAAATTAAGCATCTGTTGATGTATATGTGATAATGACATTTTCCTAATTGTACATTGTCTAAACAAACACAATATTTTGGGGTATAACTGTAAATAACATGCTCCTGAAGTTGAAATAGATTCTGTAATGCCCATTTTTGTTCATCAAGTGATGGATCTCTTAAGTGATGGCACATCAAGAGGTGAAGTCCTCAAGTGATGGCACATCAAGTAATGGAACCCTCAAGTGATGACACATCAGGTGATGGTGTATCAAGTGATGGATCTCTTAAGTGATGGCACATCAAGAGGTGAAGTCCTCAAGTGATGACACATCAACTAATCGAACCCTCAAGTGATGACACATCAGGTGATGGTGTATCAAGTGATGGATCTCTTAAGTGATGGCACATCAAGAGGTGAAGTCCTCAAGTGATGACACATCAACTAATCGAACCCTCAAGTGATGACACATCAGGTGATGGTGTATCAAGTGATGGATCTCTTAAGTGATGGCACATCAAGAGGTGAAGTCCTCAAGTGATGGCACATCAAGTAATGGAGCCCTGAAGGGATTCTCTGCATCACAAATGACCGAATCCATGTCACCATCTGGAGGACCATTCAGGGTTCTTGTACTAAGTGTTCATAAAGTATACATGGATCAAGTTAATCTATACAGCAAACTATGTTACAACGAAAAACGAATAATGAACTGATGGATATAAGAAACTGTTATTTGGTCCCAACAACATCCTGTACATTTTGACTGAAATATGTATAAGGTTATAATGACCTAAAGCTATTGGTCTCTTTGAGCTCATTATAATTGAAATTTAGTGTTATTCCAAATGATATATTACCTTCAGAATATATGAAATGATGGATTGATACTTAATTTGTTTCCAGGTGTTTATAAAATCTGTAAGAAAACATATATATCTGGTTTCAACTAAAAACCATGAAAGAGACATAAAAGTAGTAACACAAATGACACAAAACCAAATTTCACAGAATGCCATTCTGAAAAATATGTAATATAAATCTTGTCCTCTAAAACTCATATTACATACACAGGAATAGTCAATAAAATTAATGATTTTTTGTCATGATAAAATTATCAAATCTAAATGCCAGCTGTTTCAGGTATGGCATAAAATATATTATCATCAGCATTCTGAATGCTTGGCTGTACTAATGTAAGCAGGATAGCAGATTTTTTTTATGTCATCGCCATATGTATATTCTGTGTCACACTGGAAGGTTGTAATTAACATGAAAGTAGCATATACAATTCAGCAAGCTGTTCATTCTCGGCCTCTTTCGTACCCAGCAACCTTTATAATAGTGTTGGGAATTGGTTGAAATCTCACAATTGATGATTGCTTCATTACCAATGAACAATCAGCAAAAAGACTTGGTTTGCATCATTTTTCAGATTTTCCTATCCAGGTTGTTATTGCAGATAGGTATAAGATGATATAACTTGCTACTTTAAAGTAATGACTAATATATCATGACCATAAACTTCCTGGAGTCTTCAAGAAATATTCAGTCATGATTTTTCAGTTAGTGAAGTGAGTTTTCTAAGAATTAAACAAGTTTGCAGGCCCCGACAACTTCGAAGATATGTTCCATCGTCAAGTGTTTCAAAGACTAAAACAGCAGTTCCAAAATCGTTTGTGTTCGATTATGAGAAAATGTGATCGATTGCTTGGTCGTTCGGACACTGCGACCAATCTTCGATTATTTCAATTAATCGGAACACCACTACTTTATAATCCAGACAATACCATCTAAACTGAAATTTGCCATATTTAAAAAGTTTCCACCAAGATGACAGAGGGATATGTGTTTGAATGGATAGTGAGTGAGTGAGTTTAGTGTTATGTCTAGTGTTATGCCACTTTCAGCAATATTCCAGCAGTATCACAGCAGGGGACACCAGAAATGTGCTCAACATATTGTACCCATGTCGGGAATTGAACCCAGGTCTTAAGCGTGACGAGTGAACACTTTAACTACTATGCTACCCCACCACCTGTTTGAATGTATATGCAGGATATAAGTTTACAAGCCAAGGAATACACATTTCATTAAATTATATAAGCCAAGATATATAATGACCTGCCATCCAATATAACATCCTCATTGTGCCACTGATTATCAGCTTATTTGCAATTTTTAGAGTTGTTTCCAACATACCTTCAGTTTCTACTTCGTCCATTCTTTCTTTCATAACTTTCAAAATTATCATTGGATTGAACTAATTTCAATACTGTTTTCGCTCAAAATATTCCAATAAAAGAGTCATAACCAAACATTTATAAAACATTACCAAAAGTGCAGAATCATTTAGGTTGTTTCCCAATGATAACTCTCAACCTTCATTGTTGCCTCGTTTTGTGTACAATTTAAACTACAGCTGCTTCCATTGCCAGTGACGTATTTCATTAAAAAAGACAGTACTGCTTCAGTACATGCATATTTCAATTTGTTTCCATGGCAACTCATTGATGAAGAGGCAAGCATATCAAGTGCAGATCCATGAAAAGTATTAACTAATCAACTAAATATTTACGTTTTCTACACATTGGCTTAAAAATATGGATATATTCCAAAGAAAAATATATTGATAGTAGATGGACACATTTTAGAAAAACTAGGCATAAAGGTCTGTTAATTTGTTAAAAAGGGCAATGCTGATTGTGAATCGAAGACCATGATGGATTTTGTGCAGGACCTGTAATCCAGATGCAAGTCCAAATAGACATGAAGAAGAACCTCTTCCAGCATCCATCCTCCTTCCATCTGTCCGTCCATCAGTCCCTCATTGACCCTGGTCCTCTGTCAGCTGAGGGTTGTACTCCTGTACAACAGCTCTAGGAGCAAACTTGCCCTGGATCGCCAGCTGTTTGGGTAAAATAAAACCATTGTAAGCTGAACAAAACAAAATTCAACTAAAAAAAGCATGGTCTGTGATCTGTGAATGAACGCAAGGAACAGAACAGCAAAGAAAGTTTAGAGAAAACATTCATGAAATGAAAATAATAAAAGTAAAATATTTGCATGCAAATGAAGATGAGGATGGGATTACGACACAAATGATAAGGTTCCGTTTCATTTTCAGGATGACTTTGGGCACAGCTGGATACATGGTGAGCTGACTGGAGTGGTTGGTACGATGGGATATCATGCATAGCAAAATATTAAAGAATTGTTAATAGCAGGTTATCAGTTGTTAATCAACAGAGCATGAAACTAATGTGCAAAAGGTTAATGTCTTCTGAATACATGACACTTTTTACGAATAACACCTTGTTTAATCTTTATCAAGATGTTTCAAAGCTAATTCTTGGTCCTTCAACCATTGACAGCTGAGTCAGTGCATAGAGTTCATATATACAGACAGAACACAAATCTAGGTCAAGAATGTACAAAATAACAATTTAATCTTAAAGCCAATTAGATAGGATTAATGTACAAAGATAACAATGTAAGACAAAGCCAATGAGATTAACAGTATAACTTGTGTTGTTTTTTTCTTGTGCTATGGGGCGTGATGTCCTTGTAACATTTGTCTCCATCTTGTCTCCACCTTTAACATGTTCTATCTATAGATATTACCTCTGAGAACTGACTGCATTCATCTGATGAAAGAGCAAGAATTAGCATGCTTAAAAACGGTGTTATCCCTAACATATGTCACGCATTCATGTTCACCCAACTTCTAAATGCCTTTCACGAAGTTGAATGTCTTTTGCTCGCGTAAATATAGTGACACATTTCTATCAGGACATATCAGGGTAAATTGTCACATTATGTTTAGTGCACATGGCGGAATCAATGGCATACATACAATAGCTGAGTACTTTGTAATGGAGCTTTAGATTCTGTTTCACCATGTTGTCGATTGCTTATTCAAACTGATCAAGCAACCTTAACAATCACCCGCTGTGTTTGAGGTCTTCGTTTTTCTTTGTAACCTTGTCAAACAATCATAGCTCACCTACATAATGACTGAGTGAGAGAGTTGGTGAGTGGGTGAGTTTAGGTTTACGCCGCACTCAGCAATATTCCAGCTATATCGTGGCGGTCTGTAAAATGTCAAGTCTGGACAAGACAATCCAGTGATCAAAAAGCATGAGCATCGATCTGCGCAATTGGGAACCAATGACATGTGTCAACCAAGCCAGAGAGCCTGACCACCCGATCCTGTTAGTCGCCTCTTACAACAAGCATGGGTTAGTGAAGGTCAATTTTAACCCGGACCTTCACGGGTTAATGACTGAGTGAGTGAGTATGTTTTTTCCCTCTTTTAGCAATATTCCAGCAATATCACGGCGGGGGACACCAGAAATGGGCTTCACACATTGCATCCATGTGGGGAATTGAACCCAGATCTTCAGCATGACGAGCAGACACTTTAACCATTAGGCTACCCCACCACCCCCACCCACATACTGAAAATATCCAGTATAACAACAGTAGACTTACATCTGTTCCAAGTAATGAGCTCACTCATTTAAAAACACTTGGAACACGGTTGCGCACCCCCCCCTCCTTTGTCCTGAAAGTTTATTAAATGACCATTGAAACTCTCGTGAAAATGAAGTGTGCACCCCTCCTTTCTCAATAGTGTGCACACCCCCTTTCTCAAAAAGCTGTATCCGCCCCTGCTACAGTATTAGTAATATTGTTTGTTAGATCAGTTAATATTATTAAGTAGTCTTTCTCTCCTTGAACCAAGTTATTGTTCCTCCGGCCCAACCCTTTCTGTATCCCTAGTCAACCAAGTGCATTTTCCGTCTGAATCTCCAATCTCACTGGGGGGTCCTTCTTAATGACTGTTACTTGTCTCTATCAAATATACATGCTTTCATAATCTAAGCAGTGTATGAAATAAGCCAAAACCCCAGCCAGATATCTGGGCTGGTAACTTAAAAATACTTACCAGCCCAGAAGAGATTTAACCTGTCCTTCTTAAATACTAAATAGACAGTGCCAATGGACAAGTTATCTGAATATTTTTTTCACCCGTCCATCTGGCTGGCTAGCTGTAAAAGTTGACCATCCGGCAGAAATCTAGCCCATCTTGGGCAGTCGGACGAGCCTTATTTCATACACTGCTAAGCATTAGTCTAATTTTAAAGCTTGGGTTGGGATTGTCCTTACAGTATTGTCAAATGGGAAAAGATTTAAATGGCTAAATATTTCAAAGATGAACATATGTTTGCAATCTTGAACCAGTCTGATTGAACAGACTAACAGAAAATTACAAATTTTCCCCTTATTTTGTCTTTTTTTTTTTATTACATGATAGCAGAAATGTGATTGAGTGAGTTGGGATTTACACTGCTCATAGCAATATATCTAGCGACATCATGGCAGGGGGCCGCCTAAATGTGCTTCACGCATTGTACACATGTGGGGAATCAAGCAAGGGCCTTTGGTGAATGAGCAAACATATTAGTGCAAGGCTACCCAACCGTTCCCTAATGTGATTAAAAAAATTGAATAAATAGTAAAACTTGTGAGTACACATAACCATCACAATATACATGATGGTGAGTCATGGTGAGTTCCGCTCCATGCATGGTTGTTTCTTGCTTGGTGCATTTGGAAGCTCCTGTGACTGGCAGTGATGGAGCTCCACAACAGTCCATTGCAGTGTGGAGCTGGTTACCTCAGCATACAAAGGGAGTTAACTCCCACACAAGACAGACACCAGTGATCTATTGTCTATTTATTGATGGAATGGCTGATGATAACAACATGTCAGATGGGAGTTGATATTGTGATGATGTTAATATCAATGATGTCACAAGTCTTGGTGGTTTTGTCAAGCCAACATACAAACGGAACCATATAGACACAGTGTGGGGGGATCATTGTTAGAAACTGGCGTTGTTATATAGTATCATGATGAGTATAAACTACTCAACTCTCGACTGGGATACAGAGACAGATTTTGAACATAAAGGAGAATGAGGTCCTCCTTTTCAGTTTCAGAAAGACAAATAATCCTTTCATAAAGTGCAGAAGTATTTGAGTATTTTCTATACATATCATATAGATTTCGTTCAATGAATTCATTCTTGTTGTCGAAATAGATAACAAGTCTGTGGAATTTTTACACTTTTACAAAGTTGTCGAAATAGATAACGAGTCTGTGGAATTTTTACACTTTTACAAAACCAAGATGACAACAATGTGTTTACTAATGTTCACGTTAACTTGAAAAACAAGGCAGAGAATAATATGTGCAGGACATATTCATTAGCAGGGCTCGATTTAGTGCTTTGATACTTGCACAGGTGCAACCTAATATTACAAAGTGCAACCTTGTTATTAGTCTAATTTGCACCAGGTGCAAGTCAATTTTGAGTGGGTAAACCTCTGAATAAAACATCTAAATAATTCATAGTTTATTTTTCAAATTACATATTCCAATAAAAGCAGTGCAACTGGAATGGGCTGGTGCAAGTAGGTTTTTATCTTAGGTTGCACCCAGTACAAGTAAGTTAACATCTCATAAATCGAGCCCTGCTTAGTATTGTCTCATTCTGCATGAACTCTGACTCTGAATATTCCTTTCAAGAGTTGAGTGGTATGTATTCTTTTCCAAATGTCTGAACTTTATCTGTCATGACTGGTGGGTATTATACCACACAGACTTCCAGAGGATGTTCCTTAACTTGTTTATATAAGTATATCACTGATAAACCATACTGACAAATTTATGGAAAGCAACTTCTACAAATGTTAAGCAGAAATGAATGCTGTTTTGAAACACTTTTTTTGTTCCGTCTAGCAGGAATTTGGTACATGAATCCATACTAAAATGTTGCACTCATAAAATGAAAGAATGTTATCCATGGTAAGTGTTTAACGAAGCACTCAGCAATATTCCAGCTATAGGGCGGCGGTCTGGAAATAATCAAGTCTGGACCAGACAATCCTGTGATCAACTGCATAAGTCTCGGTCTACGCAATTGGGATACGATGACATGTGTCAACCAAGTCAGCGAGTCTGATCAACCGATCCCGTTAGTCGCCTCTTACGACAAGCATGGTTTACTGAAGATCAATTCTAACCCGGATCTTCACGGGCCCTTGTTGTTATCTATGAATTTGTCAGTATTGTACTTCCAAACTTCTACATTACTACTCAGAGAAGTCACTGACATACATCTGTACAAATCACATCACTGTCATACATCCATACACTGTCTGTATCACTGACATGCAGCATTGTCATGTTTCATGGGTCTTAATGAGTCAAACCGGTGAGTGACAGTGTGAGCACCCATTAATTTCATGTTGCACAATAACTATATAATCAGATAAAAACATCTCTCCACCATCGTTAAACAAGTACTGTGAAATACAGAGACCTGTTACTCAAAGTGAAATAATAAATGATTTTCTGGTCATGATAAATTTGACATGTGAAAAATATTATGGAATGTATTAATATATTTTAATAAGCTACGGACTAATTTATAGCTTTGGTTATCCTATGTCATCTATGTCTTCTACTGACTTATTACATTTCGTCTGGTAATTGGAGATACATAAATAAAATAAATAGCAAATATACATACATAATATACATTGATAATCAGCTGTACAATCTCAATTTTGGTTAAAGCTTTGCTGTGTGTTTCACATAACATCAAGGGCTAAATACCAGATATACTAATGCCTGTAACAAATGACTAAGCATGTACCAATTTATTAAAAAGAAATACCTGAAGAAACACATTCATTCAAGCATATATGGACGGAAAGTAAATTATTAATTTATCACATTGATAGGTGTCTTTGTGGGTCAACTGAGTCAGCTTAAAACAGACTGTCAAGAAAGGATCCATTTTTTTTCCAAAACATGTTAAACCTGATTTAAAA